GGGGGGGGTGTCGGAGCAAATCAAAGGTGAAAGCGACTGCAGTGGCTTAGGGATGCACAAGTGAACACAAATCGACACACCACTGTGGAGTCTCCACCAGAATAATGAAGTATTAGTGCGTGCTGAAGAGAAACAATACGCTGAAAAAAAAAAAAAAAAAAAAAAAGATCCCGACACAAATACCAAGTGACCAGGAGTACTGATGCCGTACGGCCACTTTAACATTCAGTCTCACTCAACTGCAGTATTGTATTGTTCCACATTTGACAATATTCAGTCTGTTAGTTGTTATTTTCCCCCAAACTAATCGGACGTGATCACAAATCCCTCCATCCGACATGTTTTTTAACTGACGCAAATGTTTTGGTAACTTCTTTAGCACTGTTTTTTTAATATATATATATATATATATATATATATATGGTATATTGTAAATAATTAATGGCACAATTCTGCTCACGTCATCCGTGTTTAATCAGGATTAAAATTGATATACATGAAAATTATGTTCCTGACCTTTAACCAGCATAAAGAGTTGGGATCGGCTCAGGAAATGTTTAAACGTAGGAAAAAAACCATTAGTTATTTTTAACATAACATTAAACATCTACATAAAAAGAAAGTTCTTCAATGAATCAGTGCTTAACAGCGTCTTAAAGGAATACTAATGTATCACGCTGATCCAAGTTGACAGTACATATGTGGAGAGAGTCTTTCCGTGTGAGGTCATGTTGGTGTCAGGAGCTGGAGTTGAAGTTGAGGATCACTCAAAGGTTATGTTGAGGTTAGCGTAACGCAGAGAGCCAGAGGTGAAAGTCAGAGTTTAAGTTGAGGGGTCAGAAAGTTGACATAATCGGCAGCAGATTCAAGTTGTTTGTGCGTGGGTGTGTGTGTGTGTGTGTGTGTGTGTGGCTACAGTATTTTAAATCTGCCAGCTGCTTGTTACTCCCACTAGACACATCAGTTATGGTTTGAAAGAATCTGACACACTAGACCATCTGCATTTACGAGCCAGTAAAAAGAAAAATGAAAGATATATCCGTATCAATAAATCTATAGCAGGCTCACAGATTAAGCAGCACCACTTTTACCATCGATCAACCTTTGTGCAGCTTGTTTCCCTTCAACGTTTGATCGTTCTGTAAATGAAAGAAACTAATCAAACACATTAAGAAATAATTAGCTGTAATAAAGTGAACTCTAACGCTGCAGTCTCCACTGAGGTACAAACCAAGGAGCCATATCTGACTCTAAATAAACACATTAGCAACTGTACTATCATATAATGGGAGCGATTACAATCCCAAAGCAAGTTTATGAAACCTCCACTACACACACACACACACACACACACACACACACACACAATCTGTGGCATTTACAACATGCAATCCCAGTTTAAACAAAGACAAAAAAAAAGTCTTCTATGTCCCTTTTCCTGGACAGGCTAACCCACCACACACACAAAAACATCTACACACACACGCACACACACACACACCCACACACACACACAGTGTACGCTCTGTCTCTGCTCTCTAGCCTCGCCCGTTAGATTTATTGATGCAGCAATTTTTAGTCTGTCTCTCTGTGGTGTGTTGGTCCGCCAAGCCATTCAGGATATTGTAGTGCTGCAGCAGTTAAGTCAGGGGAAAACCACACACACACCCACACACACACACACACACACACTTTCTGCCTTCCCGATAACCTATTTTCCAAAACTAAATTCAAATGAAAGTAACAATGTTGCCTACTGATGAAAGTATTGAAATACCTGGATGTCTGTGTTAAGTTACTGCGAATGCAAACCCAACATTTCCTGCTGCTGCAGCTTCACATTAAAGTATTTAACTGGCACAACAGATGTTGATTTTTATTCTGAAGTATTCTCAGGAGAAACAATGCATTTGTCAGTGAGCTTCATCAGAAATGTGTCCACAAAACAAGACAGCGGTCGCTTTTTGATGGCGGATGAGTTTGAACTATTGCAGGTAATAATGGAACAGTCAGGAGCAGCCGCGGTGAGCTGTTGAAGAGCTGCAGGCTGCTCACTCAGGAGCTATTTTAGCTTTTGCTGTTCAGATCACGGTTGCAAACACAATAATGAAAAGAAAATGGCAAATATTGCCCAACTTCTTTATTAAAACGACAACAGTACTGCCCCGCAGTATTCTGGGACCTGTAATACTGAACTGCATTTGCAGTTACCACCCATGAACTGGGTCTGTGATATGTGATCGCTACATATCTTTTGTATTATTTAATACTAATACCTAATAATGATGACCTAATGCTCACGTGACTGGGTATTTAACCATACTGCGGTTGTATGACAGTATACTCACAGTTGACACTGGTCTCCCTTGATTCCTTTAGTGGTACAGAAGCACTTCCCCGTGTTGACGTGGCACACGTTGGCATGGCTGTTACACTTGCACCCTGCAAGGGGGGAGAAGAGAGAGAGAGAGAGAGAGAGAGAGAGAGAGAGAGAGAGAGAGAGA